TCCTTTGCGGAATAAACGGCTGTATCTTTTGATTGCTTTGGCTTAGAAGTTTTTTGATTTTTTCACAGCTCCAAGGGACAGTAGACCGGAGTATTATATATGAATTTCATTTTGATACCTCCACGCGTTTCTGATAAAGACGGTCTTGACAGACGGACGGGCGGGCGGACGGACGGACGGACAACAAAGTGATTCTATAAGGGTTCCGTTTTTTCCTTTTGAAGTACAACCTTCCTTCTAAACAGCATAAAAACATGAAATAAGAACAAAATGACCAAAAACAAAATGAGGATAGACGCTAAAAAAGGATAAAGGTGACTTTACGAGGAGCCGGACTTGGTGCTAGGAGCCAAAGGATTTGTTGAAAAACATTTCGTTATTTAAATCAATCAGTGCTGAAATACTATATAATCTAACACATAACTGCATTTTCTTATTTTTCCGAATATCGTATCAATCATCACTGAGTAATTTACATCCAAAATTTTGCACTGCCACCAAAACTGTAGTTTGTTCACCAAAGCTTAAACCAAAGCATCAAAACTGAATCTAATACAACATGCAACACGCTTAGCTGGATGACTTGATAAGTTACCTACTAGCTTGTCACTAAGTGATGCTCTTCTTTGGGGTGTAGTGTTAACTTCAGGAAAATTCAGGATACATTACCAGTAGTCTTCCATAGTACACTATTTCGGAAACAATTTATTGGCATATAAATTGGACGTATAGCTTGTTCTATTTTCGTGCAATGAGGTGAGTATGCTAGGCGCAGTATCTACGCATACTCACTGAACATTTCGTATATCTTTGGAAAAAGTAAAGCACCGAAAAAGGTTTTGTCACTATTTGGGTACAATTTTTGGACATATGAGTTATAGTTATGCATAGCTTACATAGATTTCTCACACAGAGGTGAGTATTCTAACCTACCTACAGTCAAAGAATTACAATAATCAATTTCTTACTACTTTATTATACACTTTTATCTTAATTTTTGGCAAGATGTTTTACGAATTGAGCAGAGTATTGATCTGAAAAATTATAAGATAAGGAAAACTACCAACGCAGCCCTTTTCGTAAGTTATATAACTTACGACAGATTCAGTTTAAATATCCACTGACAGCTGTGGTGCTCACTGACGGATGGCCAAACACCACGGCTCTGATCGGCGCGGTGATCACAACGAATCGATTCTCCATGAAGCCCTTTCGAATTTCACTTGATAAATATCTGCTTTACTTTAGGTTACGTATGTACTTACTTTAGGAGACTGGGTGAAAGTGGTCCAGGCACCAATACGGATACCGTCGTGGTATTTATGTAGGGGTATCTCAACTATACTTAAATACAAAGGGGCATCAAAATCAGACCCGACAGTTATAAAAAATGACACTTTACATACATTATTTACTACATGTTTGGTTTAGTTAGCCCATTTCTGATAGTATTTGCTTTCTGTTGTAAATATTACTGATTGATAAAGTCGCGTTTCATTGACATCTACTCTCGTCTACATAAAAAAATCAAATAAAATAAATTACACACGTACGACAAAACTGGGGAATACATTGTCGCCCGCAGTGTTTCCGGACCAATAACAACCGAAAACCTTCAAAAAAGAGCGTACTCCTTCCTTAAAAGCCAGCATCGCATAAAACATGACAAGCGTGTACTTATGTATTTAAAAAGGAAGGAATTTCAATCAAATATTTTAGGGTAGGAGCCAAAATTCAACCATATCTCAATCGTTTTAAGACATTGAAGTTCAAAATTTATGTTTCATCCGAAGATCCATATACCTAGTTTTATAGGCAAGAATCAAAGTAATTTTGATTAAGATAGAAGAAGTGTTCTGCAATTTATGAAATCGCTAATCAATTGATTTTAGAAAGTTTAAGTATCAATCTCAAATGACTATGAAATTGTTTCTTTTTCATTAATGACCAAATTTCACTTCACTGAGTTTACGCAGTTAATAGAATGGATTAATAAAATTACGGAAGTATTGACGACAACTATTCAGAACTTTATCAAAAGGAAGTTTATTGGCTTTGTCAATATATTCCAAAAAATAATTTCTTAGTCATGAATCTTTCATTTTTATGTTTGTTGATATTTTTTATGAAATCGTGAAACTAGTCATCATTATCTGTCCAAGTTTGCTGAAAAAAACCGTAAAAAGGGGGAGAGGGGTTGAGTTCTCGCCAGCAAGGTGAAGGTGAAGATGGATCTCCGAAAGTCTAAAACCGAAACTCCGGTGAGGGCAGTTACAGAGTTGATCGTACACCACATTCATCAACTATAAAATCCAGAAATATAATTTGGATAGCGCGGCGAAGTATCCAGTCGATTGAATGGGAGACCAATCAATTTTCTAAAATAAAATGAGTACACGTGGATTTTAGGAAAATATCTAATTGTCTAATTCTGCACTTATCGAAATACCTCTCATGTTATCATATCCGTTCACGAATCCTATTTACTTGAAAAAAATAATTAACTTGAACTTTATTTTTAAATACGTGCGTTTGATTTATCATTCAATTACTTTTAATCAAAATTCGACACGATCACAATAACTTTCATGTCCTTTTGAAATGTTCATCGATTTATAAAATTCTGTACTAATAGGGATGATGACTAATTATTTTTCTTCGTTTATCAGGTAGATTATCAAAAAGTATTGAACACGTATTTTTTCTTTTTTAACATAATATAAACATTGCAGAGATATATTGATTTGAAAAGTCGCATGACGTCACGTTTGAGTATACTTATAAGTGAAAATTCACTCAAAAGTGACGTCACGAGCCCCTACTCCCAAACTTTGACGCGCTATAACTTTGTCATTTTTTGGTTGATTGCCCAAAGAAAAAATACTTGTCCATTATTTTTTGATCATCTAACTGACGGACTAAATAGAATTTCATTTACTGTACCCTGTCATCACCCCTATTGCAATTGGATCAACACCTAACTTCAGATGATGTCTTTCTGGGCAATCTGCTAGGCATTACATAAATAACATCTATTTGTAACTGGGAATTATCGGTTAATATTGCCCAAGTTCAGCATTATTTTGTATAATTAAAAAGCAATCGATTAGGAAATTTAAACACTTAAACGGGTCATTATTAAAATATAAGCACAAATTCGGTCGTATAAACGAATTTCTTGTGCACAGGTGACTTGTTATGCATAACTAAAATTTTCGTAAAAAACGGACGATAGTAGACTATACGATGGCAGAGTTCACTCGCCATTGTATAGTCGCTTCACCAAGTGACTAGAAAATTCGAATGATGTATTCGTCATAAAATGTCCAGGATTACAACTTAAATTCACACCAAGAGAACTTTGTTTTTCACAATTCATATTTCATGGTTTTTATTCTGCTTCCGTGCAGGGTTCATAAGTGAGGAGGAAAGTACAAGATTCCAATACCGCCAGACCTTACTTATTTTCTGATGGACAAAATATGGATAATTGAGAACAATTAGTGTAAACAATGAACGTATAAATACTTGTTAACTTGTGCTGTAGGCCAATTTTCGGGTATCAGATGGCACAGATGGGGCGGAATCCCTAAACGGCGATCCCGCGGTTTCGCAATTAGCAGCTTAGAACCCTCTATCTGCAGGGTTTTTAGTGGATATTTGCCGTAAAGCGCCCTTAAGAGTTACGGCGTCCTCAGTGGGCAGCCACTGCGGGGGCCCGTGAGGCTTGCGGAAGCTAGTGTGAGGTCCGTTGCGCGGTGAGCCTCTTAAGGGCGTCGTCGCCTTTTAATAGAGGTTTCGCATGCGTCAAAAAAAAGGTATCAAGTGGCACAAGCATGTAAAAAAATTACTCAATTTACTTATAGTCTGGTGAGGAGTGATTGCTCCGTATGCTGTAGAAAAAAATGTAAATTAGTAACAATTTGAAATTAATACTGCCAGACATATTCTGTCAGCAGTTTTTATTGCCAAACACTTTTAATGCTGAAAGCAAAAAACACAACCTTACTAATTTTAGGCAATAATTTTGATAATAATAAATTATTTAAGTATTACAATAGTGTAAGGGAAGCCCCCTTACACTATTTATAAGATAAAACAAATGAAAGGCATTTAAAAACCATGAGCGCGCCTTTTCTCACAGTAGCACTTTAAATAAGCTTAGAGAATTTTTGGCCACAAGATTCGTCTGGAAACTTACTAAATGTAATAATTGCCCCCTAAATATCATAGATAAATATCAGATATCAGACTGATAAGTTTGTGTTTTTTGCTTTCAACATTTAAAATGTTTGGCAATAAATACTGCTGACAAAATGTGTCTGACAGTATAAATTTCAAATTCTTTGCAATATTCTATACAACAGACGTAAGATAAGTGAGTAAAATGTTAACGTGCTTGTGCCACCTGACCTGATGCCTGAAAATTGGCACACAGCAAAAGTAAGCGAATATGTATACGTTCATTGTACACCCTAATACTACTCGATTATCCATATTTTGTCCATCAGAAAATAAGTAAGGTCTGGAGGTCTTGGGATCTTACTCTATAAAGCTTATAGAGGGGCATCGCTTTGCATACATCAACCTACTCGTGTTTTTAATAACAGATGCCAACTCTTATTAAAAACACGAGTAGGTTGATGTATGCAAAGCGATGCTCCTCTATAAGCTCGACTACACCAATTGTATTTTCATGATGTTAAGCTGAAACCTAATTTGGGAAACGGTTATAAAAGATAAAGTGACTAGTAATTTTGGGTACAAATCGTCTCGTCTATGTTTTTGCGGATCTCAATAAATGGACTACGGCCTCCTTTTTAATTATCACGTTATCAAAAGACCTACTATCCCATTAGTAAATAACCCAATGCATTCATAGCACGATCGAAGGCAGGAGCGCGTGAAAATTACTATTCCGCGCGCGAATGCTCCTCAGGAGAGCGCTTGCTCCGGAGCGCGAGGGGAGAGTCCGTACCTGTCGTGCGCGAGCGCACCTGTCATCGTGTGCACGCTCAGTTGATCGCTTGCCATAGCACGCGAAACACGCGCCATGCCACCACATTATCACAGAAAACCGTCGCGAGTGTCGTAATAACTGTTGAGAAAGAAAGAAAATAGTTCTGTGTGAAACTTTACAATGGATGTGTTGTATTTGTGTCTCATCCTCGTCCTGTTTCAGGGTAAAGAATTCTTATTTTTTTTTTTTATTTTTTTTTTTTTTATTTTACACGTATTTTTCATAATTCTTTGTTTAATCTAATGCTTTCTTCAAACTTCGTTAAGCACAGGAGTAAATATTGAGGAATTTCTTTCAATGGAGATGGTTGTTTACCTTAAGAAGCGCGCCGGATAATTTTTATTAAATCGTAATTTTATCTCGCGGCAATCGGAAGCATCTCTTGACTGTTGAGAAAGTCAAATGATTTCTAGTTTCATCTGCTTTTCCCAGTACGTTGCCGTTATCTGGGTCAACTACGATGAGGTGCTTTTTGTGTTGTTTCCACAACAATCGACTTATGACCCATTTGTTGAGAGTTTTCCTTCGTTTCTTGTTCATCTCGTCTCTAGATGGGTGAGTCATAATGTAGAGATGAGATGAGATATTAGTTGAGCCAAGACGCGTTGCTTTATTAACTGTTTTCTGTAGCATTTTGATTAATTAGAAAATTAATTCTATGATAAAGAAGACTTATTTGTTTAATTAATACTAGTTTTAACGGGCTAATGCATTGACGTTTCGCAGCCTTTTTTAGGTCTGCATCGTCAGAATAATGATTTTTTATTTACTTTGTCGAGCTAACTTCGAAAGACTTTTATTGAGAATGAGAAGATAGCTCGACAAAGTAAATAAAAAATCATTATTCTGACGATGCAGACCTAAAAAAGGCTGCGAAACGTTAATAAATAAATTAAATTCGTGCATTAACCCGTTAAAACTAGATTTATTTAATGAGTGATGTGCGTGAAAACCTAAGAAATAAATAGACTTATTTGTACTTGTATCTGTTTTTGTAAAGATTGTTTTTAGAATGACAGCAGTACCTTTAACAATATTTATAAAATCTTCAACCTTTTTTTTAATATAGTGAATGTATGGATCATTGGTCCCAAATGCTTCGAATACAAATACTTCCAGTACGAATTCGATTCCTTTTCGCAAATATGTTTGGACAAGTGATAGTTTTAATTGTTTATCCACTCTTTTAAATAGCTCGATGTTAAAGTTTGATTAGTATAAACAATTTCAATGAAATATGCATAGTTAACTATTCGGAATTTATTTTTTTACTTAATTTCTGTAATCTCCTTTCGACAAACAAGTAGCTAAAATGTTTAATCCTATCTTTTTCGTACATTTATTATTCCTTTTAACATTTGTGTAAATTTCGTGGTTTCTGAATAACATCCTAGGTAAGGGAATCAAAATTCTAACGAAGTAAGTAAAAATTCTTTACCGAGCTGTCCATACTACTTAGTGTAGTTTTCCACTTGAACTGTCTGGTGTGGTGAGGATGACTGATGTAGCATATATTCTAGCTATACCTTTTCGCGAGTGGACTTCATAAGGTGGATTGATAATAAGTAAACAAAATGTAATATATACTTGCAAGCTTTTAGTTGCCACATTTTTATAGATATGTCTAAAGGAATTTGTTAGTTAATTAAGTACTCGAAAGAGCTCGAATATGTGGTCTTGGGCACTGAGAATAAAAGAAGTTTTATAGTTTTATAGGGTACCATACCATAGTGGTCAGTCATTGGATGGGTGACCAAAAACATCTATCTCGAGTTCCTCCGTGCTTCGGAATGCACGTTAAGCCGTTGGTCCCGGCTGCATCTGCAGTCGTTAGCACCCGCCAATCCGCACTGGGCCCGCGTGGTGGGTCATGGCCCAATCTCCCTAGCAGTGCCCCTGCCCCAGCAGTGGGGACATTAATAGGCTGATGATGATAGGGTACCAGTGGATGTCCGCGACTTCGTAATAGAAACTCCCCCCCCCCCCCCTTTAAGGATGATTCCACGGATAAGAACTATCATATGTCCATTCCAGGGACACATACAATTTTTTTACCAAATTTAATCGACATTGGTTCAGTGGTTTCAGCTTCAAGAAGTTACAGACAGCAGACACTTTCGCATTTACATTATTAGTATGGATTGTACTAAGTAGAAGGTAGTTATGCTTATAGTTTTTTACTGACTGGCTGGTATATAGTTGCCGTGTTTTTTGTAGGGCATGTAACAGTTGTCGCCCCGCACTACTATTTAGCAGAGCAGTGAGAACAACGACAAATTATCGACTATTATAAGTGCTGTATAACAGTACGAATGTTCCACAGACGACCTAACACGGAATATACTTGCGCTGCATTAAGAGTTCTTTTTGCGAAACAAGTCAACGTTGAAGACTGCTTTTCCCTGTGTCAAATGAATTTGAGGTTTTGAAAATCTTTCAAATACAATCGACGTCCGAGTGTAAAGACGAAATTAAATAGGTATATAAATCTCGTCCAGTGATAGCAGTTAAAATAATGCAATTTTCACCCTCGTATTATAATTTACTGAAACACTATCCGAAAGAAAGCAGGTTTTCTCCATTTTTCTATACTTCTAATAATTCCTTTTTTACAATGAACCTTTGTGGACGCAACACAAATTTGGTTTCAGGCAAAACCTATTGGAGGCCCTGGGCATATTAGGATAATGGGGCCCCTATGACCCCCGTTTGGTGATCTAACAAGAACTAGGGACTTTGTATTTGTGATCTGAGGTGCCCACCTATCAATCACGGGGCCCTGGGCACTTGCCCAAAGTGCCCACTGGGAAAGACGGGTCTGGATGGAGTAGTATATATGTTTAATAAAACTATAATAGGCATCTCTCTAGAAGTTAGGCTATGTTATGACTTATCGATCGTCCTTTTCAAGAAAATTAAATGTCTTAAAGAATTTGTCAAATTATTAAGTTCGACTAACTTTGACTTTTTATCATAAAGTCTACGTACATTTTGATAATATTAGAGAATTAGTTGATCGGTGTTGCTTAATGGCGTTTACCTATTTTTCCATTTCTCTCACGCACATATAACGTGGGTAAGTAACGAGTAACGGTATTTACTAAAAGCGCGTAAAACAAAATTCCCCCTTTTATAAAAACACGGGGCTTGGTCGTTCTCCCCTCTACGCGAAACAGGAAGTTGACACGTCCGCTTCCTAAAAGTTGACACATTAATAGTAGCATTATTATTTATATTAATGTAGGTATATAGCATCCATTTAGTTTAAGAGATCTGTACCCCTAGCACGAATATCGAATTCGTATCGTTTGCGAGTCCGAAATGTCAATGTCAAATTTTGTATGGAAACTTGAACAGCAGCGACACAAAGTACGTAACGAGAACTAAAAATCAGTACACATTTGACAATGACTGAATGAATGAATTCGATATTGGTTCGTGCTAGGGGTACTGCTTTGATCAATTGTTGATCGAAGGCATTCGTTGGTGTTCTGTAATATAAAATTCATTTTCCGTTATGTTATAAATATAGTAAATTAATACAGTTTCTTAACTAACGAATGATTTATCACATAATTAGTGAAATTTCGTTAATCTCAACTTTTTTTTTCATTCTTATTAATCCATAGATTACCAAGCGGTTTTCTATTTTTGTCACTAGGTAAAAATTTCAAAATCGCCTCTATCATGCAGAATAATAATGTCCTCAGAGCTGAGGCACAAACCTTTTGAGGAGAATAGAAATAATTGGCAATGATGATTGATATGGCCCACGTGCGTCCCAGTGTGTGTGAGAATTGGTAGGTGATAGTGAAAAAAATAGCTTTTTCTCAAACATGCTTGGTAATTTCAGCATTATTTTGACAACCTCCTTTGAGATAAATCAAAATTGCTGTGCTGGCCAAATGAATGCTAGCAGAGCGGACGGCAAAAGTTGTATGAAAATCCATATCTATCTGTATGTCTGTTTTGCGGCCAAATAAATTACATATTAAACTCAGTGAGTTGTAATTACTACGCTAGTAATAATACTTCAATGACCGTTGCAGTAAATGTACTATAAAAGTGCTTAAAATACACAGGCCCACAAAACAAAGTACACTGCGCGAAAGACCAGATTACCTGAGCTCTATCTTTTCGGGGTCGCTGAGTCCAAATATGGTGCCAGAATAGCGAAGTTGGTTCTCGTTTTTTTATAAATCTGCAATAATGCTTAAAATTTAAGTTTTTCGTATTTCGATTCGTAAAACGCGAACCAACTTCGCTATTCTGGTACCATTTATTGTGTGGGCCTGTGTTATCAATAGGATATAACTTAGTGGGAGTAAACCATAGAGCAACATCGACGCATTACACATTTATATACAAATGTTTGTTCTTGAATGCTAGGGTCAAGTCCCTAAATTTTGTCAGATTCCACAGGAATTCGGCCGAGCGGCGCGGCTGACCTACGGACGGACGCGCCGCTGCAGACAATCGCGTGATTATTCTTTGAGAATTCAAACAAAAACTGCTACCTCTCTTTAGGGTTGTCACCTCATGTATGTTGTGTATGATACATATTTCTTTCAGTATTCACAAATTTCGTAAGAACATATTTATAAACTTAAAAATACTTTTAAAAATGTAGTTTCAGATATTAATGATTATCATTAAAGACACGACAGATATCAATAGACAATTATTTAAGTATCTTATGAATGTGTTGATAAACGTCCACAATGTTACCACAACATTTTATATTTTTTTAACGATGTTGTGAGGATAAGCTTCTTTCGACATCCGCAGATGTGAATCTGGAAGCTGCGATTTCAGCCACGCTCAACCCTATAGCGAACTGTAAAATAATAGGCTACGGCCGCCTTTTTATACAATGTAATGCTTGCACTATGCTATCTGTGAGTTTGACAGCAATATCTCCTTTTCATTCCACATAGATCATAATAAGTACCTATATACCTTTCTAAAATTACAAATTGTTAATACGAATATCCATGTAAATTGTTTGTATAAAGCAACTACAAATAAAGATCATGAACTTATATTTCACTTAATATGACTTTTTTTCGTCCATCGGATTAATTACAGATATGTTAATTTGAAATGTCTCATGACGTCAGGTCTTGGTATAATTATGTACCAAGAAGTGACGTCAACGAGTCG